TCTTAACAGTGGGGGGGGGGTGGGCACAGGGGCTGAGGAAAGGGTACACAGATAGTATATTTCTTTCCACTTTCTTGTGTATTTTTAAGTATTTCAATATAACATTTTCTTCTTAAAAATCTTTCAATTTAATGGAGGATGCAAAGAACTAAATAGCTAATTGCAATACACTGTAATAATACTCAGTTAAGGGGAGGTACTATAGAGTATATATATGGAGGAGTACCTTGTTCCCATTTCCAAGTCAAGAGACAATGTCTCTGCTACTCCCTTGTTTCTTAAAGGGCCCCAGTTAGCTTCTGCCTCTGTTTGAGGGACATGTGTTAGCAGTAATGGACTTGTAGAATGCTTGCCATTGACCCTCCCTGACCCCCAGCACCCATAGTGATGTGCCCTACTCATTAAGGCCTCAGTAAAGTACCAACCATACAAGGCAAACATTTTATAAGAATGAGCACAGATAAAATAACATGAATCTCATGTTCTCACAGCATGTTAAACTGTAAGTTCAAGGACTCATTTCCAAATTTAAATACCTATGATTCTAGATTATACACAGTTTTGGCTCTTCTCCAGCCCTGTCCTGCCATCAGCACCATCAGCCAAACTATACTCTAACCAGGGAGAAATAGCCTTTGTATGTGAGGAACACATAGCTGCAGTGGACATTATGCATGCATTATCACTTGTTACTATACTTACTTTAATTCAGTGACAGTTGCGTATTTTGAGTTTTCTTAAGTTATAAAAGTTTTTTTCCCCTTGGAACTAAATAGAAGATATATTATTGCTAATATGTTGGGGGACTTGTTTTGGCTTTCTTGGTATTTAGTAGGAACACTAGGAGAGAGACTTAATATGAATTTATGCTGTTGTCACATTGTAACAACTCAGTTGTCTTAGAATTTTTACCAGGCTGTGTCTGAGTTTCACAAAACCATGAATAGGTGGACTCACAACATTTAAGCTGGAAATATTTTGTTTTTCTTTGTTGTTGTTGCAGAAACTCACCCCTCCTCTCTGTGTCAGGAAGACCTCTTTGGGGTTGCCCTGGGACTAAGGAGGGGATCTGAGTCTGTATCTGTGTCTGTTATTGGAATATTCAGTGGGAGTTCTTAACCTGTCTGAGTCTCCCTGGAATAGAATTTCAAGCTGTGTGTATAGGCAGCTGTGGTTTGCATCATTTACCTTTATCAACTTGGTAGCCAGTTTGAAATTACCTACATCTACTTTGTGAAATTCACACTCTGTTCTTTTGAACTTATTCTTCTTTTTAAAATAATGATGAAGTGGTAGTGTCTTGGTACAGTTTTTAAAAACTTTGCGGAGCTAGAAATAATACATTTTATTTTATTTTATTTTTTTATTTATTTTTATTTTTTTTTAACGTGTACTTATTTTTGAGACAGAGAGAGACAGAGCATGAATGGGGGAGGGTCAGAGAGAGGGAGACACAGAATCTGAAACAGGCCTCAGGCTCTGAGCTGTCAGCACAGAGCCTGACGCGGGGCTCGAACTCATGGACTGCGAGATCATGACCTCAGCTGAAGTCGGCCGCTTAACCGACTGAGCCACCCAGGCGCCCCGAAATAATACATTTTAGATTGAACAGGTCATTTATTATTAATCAGATCCTAAGACTTTTCCGCATTGCTTTTGTTTTTGTTTTGTTGTTGTTGTTGTTGTTGTTGTTGTTAATTGTGTGTTTTAACATTTTGTTAATTTTGATTTTCTGAAATATAAACCTTTTTTGTGTGTGTTTTAAGTCGTTTAACAGTTTTAAGAAAACATACAAGTCTATATCAGTAGTATAGTTGATTTAGAATATTTCTTTCTTGTCTTCTAATAATTTGTGACTGTGTGGTCCTGACTGTTGTATGACCATGATCTTTTCTGTATCCTGTCTTATCTTTGTATATCTGGGAAAGTTATTACTTATTTCTTATTTTTATTCACTTATTTAAAATGAATTTATTATAAGGACTCTTAAGGTTATATAACATTCCACATATTCTGTACTTTTCCTACAGGCTTAAGATTATACCGTGTTAGTCTAAATCTATAACACTATTAAATAGTATTACAAGCATTTCTTGGAAAGGAATAGGGATTAACAGGAAGCAGTGGATTTTTCATAAATTTGGCAGGCTATTTGGGAAGCGTTTTTTTCCTAGGTAGCTTAAATATCCTTGAAACATTAATTTTGGAATAAGAGTTGCATAGGAACCAGTATTATTCCTCCACTTTATAAGAGAGGCACCTCTGCCATCTCCCTTTCTTGCCCTGCATTTGAACAAAGTTTCGCTGAATGGACTGGTGCTCCCACCTGCAGCCAAGCCCATCAGTCCCTGGACCAAATCCAACAACAATAGGAAGCATATGTAGAGCCTTTGACTTTTTCTTCCTCAGTGGGCACATCTGGTAGCCCAGCTACAACTGCTGGGCTCCATATTGCTGCTCATTCTCACCTTGAATCTGTGTGGTCCCCTAGATCTGAGAGGCCATGACTCTGGGCCTCGTCCAGGGACCTGGGTGGCCCATAGTCACAGAAATGTTACCCTTTTGTCTCTTCATGGGACTAGGTCTCTGCTGTCTCCTTGGATCCTTGAGTGCTGTCTCTATGTCCTCACTCTGTGCTGTGGTGTCTCACAGTATATGGTCAGCTCTGGTAATGACCACCACTGCCTGACTTCTAGGTATCCAGATAGTCGCTTCTTTCTGTCTAAGATGATACCGTATTACCTATAGCTGTGTATATGACTTCAGGACTCACTGTGCCCTTTGAATATTGTGCCTGTCTATCTCACTGAGCCTTGGGTGATAGCCATTGATGGGGTCAGCTCTGTTTTTATGATCTTAAATGTGAATACTGGCCCAGTATTACTAAGTGTGCATTGTGCTTCATGCCTGTCACAGGGAGAAGGGTCACCAATGTAATGAGTCTCCCCACACTGGACAGTGGTGTCTCATTGGTCACACCATAGTAAGGAGTTCGTTCACTTTCTTATTTGCTATTTAGCTTTTAGTTCCAAATAGCTTTTTTGCTAACTTACAATAAGACTGTTAAAGTAAGGGGCAGAACCAAGGTGAGTAATAAATAGGGACTGGGGTAAAACCGAACCAGAAAACCAAGGCCCTCCCTAAGAAGCCTACAGTTGAGGTAATTGAATTTTAGGCCAAGTGTTCTGCCAATCAGAGAAAAATGGAGGCGGAAAGAAACTGATGCTACTTACTATTAGATTAGAGTGGCACAGAAGATTCAGTTCATCCAGAGAGATGCTCTTGTTTTCCTAACTGTGTATTTTGGGGAGGGATATATTGAGTGGCTTGTTATATCGCATTTTTCTATCAGAAAATTGTATTAACATACCAGTGCATGTTGCTGAATGTTCTTTTCTTTCTAGCATGCAATACTTCAAACAATTATTTTTCAAAATGACTTGAGTTCTGCCCAATTATTTTCTAGTATCCAGAGTAAAAAGTAAACAGATACATGTGAAAATAACACGTGTTTCCACTCAGTTTATGCAAAAATATTATCTCGGTAGGTAATTGTTGTGAACATTTTTTTCTATATTGATGACATTTTTTTTTCTTTTTAAACTAAGTCTTTGCAGTCCAGTGTGCATTTTACACTTACAGCACAGCTCCATCTGGATCAGTCCGATTTCGAGGGCTCACTAGCATCATGTGGGAGGATGAGGTAGCAGTGGACAGGACGGCTCTGGTTTGTTGTGATATCCTTGTGATCCTTTCATTCTTGAGATATCACAGCTACAGTTATCACCAGGAACCTTGAAAGGCAGACTTTTCATTGTTCTTTGTCCGGAGTGTTCATTAATCCAGAAGTTATCATTTTGTGTCCCCGACACTAATTTGATGAGAAGAACAAAATAGATTTAGTCACTATCGAGAAAGTGAGCAACTTCTTCTGAAAACTTTTGGAAGCTTACTTTCAATTCTCTCATCACTAGTAGATACACTTATTTATGTTATCTTAGAAATTTTCTTGATCTCTTTTTATGCCAATTGCTTCTTTACACCTTCCATGATTTCACCAGCTTTCTGTCCCACTGTTCCAATAGGAATTAGTTTGTAGTTTTTCAGAGGTAATCATGGCTTTCTGCTTGACATACAGTTACTGGTTAATTTCTTTATTATCTCCTTGTTGAAAACTGAGATTTGTTGGCTATTCTTCTCCCCCTTAGTGCCTTACATGGAGTAAAGTGTAGTCAGTAATGCTCACTGAAGGAACATATATATGTCTTCTCCTCTTACTATGGTCTAGAAAGCAAGGGGCATGCTATTGACTCCTTTGGTATCTTTGTAGTTACTAACATAGTGCAGGGTATGCATTTGGTGCTTAATAAATTCTTGCTGACTGGAGTCATGACTTATAATTGGCCTTCCTAGTCTTGATTCAAATCTAGTTCTATCACACTATTACATTGCATTCTTGGAAAGAACACCGCTGTTTTCATTTGAGGAAGAATTACAAACACACACATCCACTAGTCTTCTTTCTTTGCTCCTGACTCTGAAAAAACGAAAGAATCAATGGAGAGAGTGCCACTACCTTTGGTTAAATACCAGCAAAGTATAATACAGTATATTTTTTGCCAGAAGAAAGAATGTGACCGCTGTTGTAGGTCTTAAACATTATGATGAAGGAAGCTAGTTTGTGGATATTGGAATCATTCATTCTTTCATTCAATAAACACTTACTAAACACATATTATGATTAAAACATTGTGTTGCACACAGGGGATAAAAATGGTAAGTTTTGACCCTCAAACCGCTCACATTTTAGATAGAAATTCAGATCATGCCAGAGACCTCTTTAAAATATTTGTCAGTTTAGAGAAAGCTAGTACTAATGGGAAAAAGATTCAACATGCCTAATTTTCACTCTCTTTTTCCTTCAATGGTGTTGGTTAGTAAGTATTTTTAGAATAAATGTGTAGATAGTGGTTTGTTTTTAAAGAACTCACATTATTTGGCATTTATTACATTTTATTTGTTTCCTTGATTGATTAATTGCAGTTAAATTACCTTAGCATTCTAGAAGAGATTTTATAGATTTTGACATATGATTAAACAGCATAAAGTATAACTAATGTTGTTTTAGTGGCATGCTATGTATTAAAGCATAAAATTTAAACACATACTTCATCAGGAATTTTTGCAGTTACAGTGAATTTGAAAGATTCAGATATTGGAACTCTACTCCCACTGTTAGGGAGGGGTAGGAATTTTATAATTGAGATTATTATAGAAGAGTGTCCTGACATAACTGATTGACTTTAGTGATGTGCCTTGAAAGTTCAAATTCAAGGTGTGCACTTATTTCAGTCAGCTTATTCTGAATGTTTAAATAAGAAATACTATTTCTGGGTATTCTGAATAACTCGTTGTACATTTATTCCTAATAGTGAGCATTTGGACTAATGATGGATTACTAATGAGCATGTAAATGTACCACCTGATTACATTAATATATGATCTTCCATGACGAGGTCTGAAATGAACATTTCTAATATGTATTTCTTTTCCCCAAATGGCACTGTGGCGTATACTGAGCAGGACTGAGACAAGGGTGTTTTTCTTAAGAGCCACTGATTTAGTCAATTATCAAAAATCACATTATAATAAATGCTGTTCTAAGAATTTTGATTAACCTTTAAATAAATGTTACTTTGGAAAAAAAATCTGCCAAATGTGTTAATGATAAATTGTGAAGTGGTAGTAATTGCAAGTATGGCTTTATGGATAATATAGTTAATTGATACCACCCTCTCAAACACATATAGCACATCAGCTGCTATGAGGCTGGGTGATAGTAATGGCGTCTACACCATTTTTGATGCATTGAGGATGACATGAGTAAAATGGAAACTTAGAGTGCTCACCAGGGTCATTCTCTCATGAACATCTGATGCCCATGGTCAAGTAAATTTTTAATGACACATAGTCACTACACACCTTTCAGCCTTCTGGAGAGGTAAGTGTACATTGATCTGTCCTAATTAGCCTTGCAGAGTACTTCAGACATCCCTGCATGAACACTATTATTTAATAAAATGGGAGCTGTTTTTTTCACAAGCTCAGCACTTGCTCCTTAGATGGCTATATTGTTGTTTTTTTTTTTTTAAACTCAAGTCTCATGTTCATTCTTGTCTTTGTCTGGCAATGTAGTATTAATGCAGCTGCATATAAAAGTAAGCAAAATTAAAGAATGGGTCTGATTATGAGGTTCATTGCTATTATAAGAAACCCATAGAGCATACATCTATTCCTTCTCTAATGTATAGGGTGCTGACTGCATAAAATTGCTTGGAAAGACATTAAGGATACACAGGCAATTCTGTTAAGGTGTGCAATGGGATGCTTTTATGTTTGGAAATAAAGGTGGCCCTGGAATATCTGATTTGCAAGACAAAAGGTAGCCAAAACAGTTTTTAATTGCTCTAGATTGGAACACTTATGTACAGACATCTACTTTTTTATTTTTTAAGAGTTTAGTTTTATCTGAGTTTGGGGTCTATAACACCTTGAGTTTGTTCATTGTTGGAGTAAATCAAGTATTGTTTATTTAGCTATAGGATTTAGAGGTAGGGGGATTTTACTATGGATGCTTCTGCTTGTGAAGGTACTCAGTTCCAAATGGGATACAGACCAGATGGTGTTAAATCTTATCCCAGGGAAGAAGTCTACAGCCAGAACTTCTTAGAAGCATGTGTGTCACTTGGTCACATGATTTACTGGTTCTTGGATTTATTTGTCTTAAGAAAATGAACAAGAAAAAAAAAAAAAAGAAAAGGAACAAGAGTGGGTTCCTTTTGATCTGTAGGGCTGGCCATTGATGACAATGTCTGGAGTTGTCTTTGTGTTCATAGAAATCAGGCACCTCTTCCTGCTGTTGCATGGCCACAGAGCTGGCTCTCAGGCACCACAAATGCCTCCTTTACCTGCTTGCTCATAGCTGAAGTTGCATAATGAGAGATTAAAATATTTGGATTTTGCAAATATCTCTAGAAATGGGAACGCTTTGTTTAAATCAGATCCATACAACTCAGTGTGAGTGAGCTTACCAGTCCTTTGTGGATAGCAAGATTTGAAAGTGGGGTGGGTAGAGAAATATGAGGACACTGGGTAATTAGGGAGTAAAAGGAACTGCCTTGCGGGCATGAAGGGGACAGTAGGGGTGAGATGAAAGTCTCTGAGTGGAGAGGCTTGGAATAGCAGAGGACAAGATGTACTTTCCTTACAATATAGGAAAACCTCTAAAAATGGCAAGTTTTCTAAATATAGTTTTAAAACCAAATTTGTTTTCAATTTTATTTAGGTATGAAATTAATTATTTCATTATTAGATATTCTCCTTGAATTACCTAGTTCATTTATTCAAGAAGCATTTATTGAACAACTCCTATGGATTAAATAGTGGATTGGATGCTAAGGGAAAAAGACATGATTCCCATCCTAATGTTTTATTAGTACCTCTGCTTTTGGCTGTAGGTAATGGAAAACCCAAATCCAATTGGCTTTAGTACTAAGGAAATTTGTTGGCTCTCACCACTGAAAGTCTAGGGGCAGAGTGGAATTCAGGACATTTTAGTCAAGTAGTTTTGACTTAGTTTTCCTTGCATTCTTTTTCCTTACTCTGTGGGTCAGCTTCATCAGTGGCTAGTAGCAAGATGGCTATCAAGTGAAAGGGGCTATTTCAGAAGCTTTCTAGAAGAGCTAGAATAGCTTTCTCAGAAGCTTCAAAGAAACCTCTTCTTGGATTTTATTAGCCTAAGAGACCAAGATTATATAGGCAGTTAGAGGACTGGTGGGTGCAGATATGTTTGGGTTTAGTGAGAGCACTGAGGTGGGGTGTCCCGTCTAGACTGGTAGAGATGGAGGGTTGAGAGAAGGATTTCTTTCTTTTTTAAAAACATTTATTTATTTATTTATCTATCTGTTTATTTATTTATTTAGAGGGTGGGGGGAGGGGAAGAGAGGGAGGGAGAGAGAGAATCCCAAGCAGGCTCACGTCAGCATAGAGTCTGATGCAGAGCTTGATACCATAAACCATGAGATCATGATCTAAGCTGAAATCACGAGTCAGCTGCTTAACCAACTAAGTCACTCAGGTGCCCCTCAGAGAAGGATTTCTTGAAGAGATGCTACCCAAACTAAATCCAAGAAGATGAGAAGAAATGAGGAGGTGGGAAAGACACGTAGGCAATGGAGGAAATGAATACAAAGACAGAAGCAAGAAGGTACATTGCACAAAATCAGCTACCTTTTACTCATTCTTCAGGTCTCAACTTTACCTTATCTTCCCACTAGGTTTCACAGAGCCTTGCATGGCCTCACATTTCCCTGTGTTTATCCCATCTTAACATCGCCCACTTCATTGCTATTCATTCAACTGCCTGCTCTTCTTCACTAGACTCTGTGGGCAGGGTCCATGGTCTCTATAACTGCCCCTCTGTTCCTGGTACCTAGCATAGTGCCTGGCACATCATAGACAGTTGGTAAATATTCATTACCATGAATGAGTGCATGAATGAGTGCATGATTTATTATTATTTTGTTAAATGACAGCATTTAGACATGTTCCTTCCTATATTGATCAAAATGATAATGATTTTCATGGACTTGACTGAACTTCTTATAAATAGTTATAATATTCAGGCAGTAGAACTGAGTCTTGAGGATTTCAAAGAGTTTTTTGACTTTCATATGATTAACTAGTTTGAATAGAATTTTCTTGAGCGTGGTTATGTGTTTTCATACACTATATAATCCCAAAGCAGGAAGAGACTTTATTTGTTGGATGGGTGAGTCTTTGTTTTTTGGAAGACTGAGTCTTTGCTCACTA